TGAGTCGGATGCAGCTCACAGTGGCTGGCTGCTAAATCCCCCAGCACCACATGCCAGCCAGCCCCGCCCCCTGGTGGGCTGAGCTGGCCACCTCTCTCTCTCTCTCTCTCTCTCTCTCTCTCTCTCTCTCTCTCTCTCTCTGCCCTCCTCAGGATCTCCCCTCCTGAGTTCACCTTCACTGTCCTCCTTCACACACACCCACACACGCACCCGTGGGCGCACACACACATGCACACACACATGCACGCACACACACACACACACACACACACACACACAGGCACGCACCACCAGGCAAGCTGAGCAGTGAGGGAAAGTTTCAGGCAGAACTCACAGGAGGCTCTCCTTTCACTCTGAGCATCTAGTTTCCACGCGCTGTGACAGTCTCCAGACAAGGGGAAACGTCAACCCTGAGAGGTGTCCAGAGTGATCAAAGTCACTGGACTAGAAAGCAATCGTGTTGAAGACAGTCCTCAATTAAAAACAAAAGAGAAACAACAAAGAGTCCTCCTGTGGCATGGTACTAGAAAAAGAATAGAATTGTACATGTTCAAATTCTTTCATGAAACTAATTGTGAGGGAGGAATTAGAGTGTCACTACAGCGCTCATCTGTTATCTGTGCATATTTGAATAACAGGGTCTGCCTCAAAGACTAATATGAAGAACAAAATCTGAAATTCTTTTGAACTCCTGCATTTAGTTACAGTAGTGACCACGGCATGCAGTGGGGCAGAGACTTTCTGGGTTTGGATCACAGGTTCTGTACCCTTTAGTGCTGGGTAGGTGCTGGGCCAGGCTCTGGCTCTCTCGAGGAGCATACTGACCCGGAAGACAGCTGTGATGGCCGGCACAGAGCTCCCAGAAGGTCTGGGTGGCCCTATGTCCTTTCTAAATGGTGGCCGTTGCGTGACCATGGTATTTATCATTTGACCAGCAGAGGGAAAAACACACGTGTAAATAATATTTCTATGGAAAACATTTTAAATCAGATTATATAATTTTTACTTTGGAACTCAGTAATGTATTTCTATAATAAATTGGTAGTGTGTTGGCATATCTGTGTGGTTTAAGTGCCCTCCTTGTGGATTTTACTGGGATAATCTATTTAAGTTATATTTCCTTATATCTCTGACTTCAATTCACTTTTAATGTATTATTATTATTATTATCATTATTATTTTAATATATTTGGTACAGGGTCTCACTATACAGCTTGGACTCATAGTGATCCTCCTGTCTCAGCTTCCCCAGGGCTGGGATTATAGGTATACACCACCATGCTGGGTCTCAGTGCCCAGCTCAGCCTGCCCCGGGTGGAGTCGGTGTGGCATGTGGAGCTGGGGACGAACCCTCACCCCTGTGCTTCCCTAAGCTAGCGCTTAGTCCACTGAGCTATCTCGCTGGCCTGCAATTTACTTTTAAATAAATTGAATAAACCTATTTCCAAGTAGTAACTGGAAGGTTCTATTAGATATAATATCTAGATGTGCAGAGTAAAAGAAGAGCCTGTGAGTGCTGTCTGAAACTTTCCCTTGCTGCTCAGCTTTGCCTGGTTGGTGTGTGTGTGCATGCACGCATATGTGTGTGTGCCCACCTGCACATGTGCACGTGTGTGTGTGTGTGTCCACATGTGCCTGTGTGTGCTTTCCTTTCATAGATACAATTAATTCTCTGTAAAGAGAAATTTGGTACTGGAACCATCACAAATTCTAACTCATTTAATAATAGATGCATTTAATAAATCATTTGGGACATCATCTTTTGGGCCAGAGAAATAGCTCAGCAGTGTAAGTGCTTGCCTGGCAAGCTCAAGGACAGGGTTCGATCCCCGGTACTGCACGCTGTGCACACTGAAACTGGGTGTGGTGTTATATGCCTGTAATCCCAGTGCTGGGGAGGCTGAGACAGGAGGAGCACTATGAGAGTGAGCTGCACAGTGAGAATCTGTACCAAACCAATAAATTAAAAAAAAAAAAAACAACAAAAAACTTTTCAGTAGAGATGCTTGCAATTAACTGAATTTAAAAGCCAAATAAATATTCAGCATTTTTAATACTAGAAATGTTCTAAGATTATTGTGTAATCAGATTATTGTGTAGTCAGGTGATTGTCAGATTTTTTAATCCATCAGAAATACTGTTTAGAAATATTAATGGACATTGTGGGGCACATGGGCACTACCTAAATGGTGACACATAAGAAACCTCTCAATAACAAAGGTGAGAACTTACTTTAGGAATTACCCTGCAGAAGGCAACTTGTCTGTGCACCTTTTCTAAGCAGTTCTGACATCGCTGTGTTAGCTTGTAGACTGTGCCTGAGCGTCCACCACAAGTGTGTGCATAAGGAGGAAGCAGCCAGAGAACTAAAAAACAATAAAATGATACAGAATTTGAAGACAAGATGATGGGAAATTGACAATGATAGTTTACATTGAATACTGTTATCTTCAGCATAGTTGTTCAGATTACGACATACAGGCATGAAAGATTGATCAGAAATACAAGCACTAACTGTTCCTTCAAATGACCTAAGAGAAATTAGGAGGACCACTAGCTGAGCTGTCAAAAACATTTCTTCCTTCTTTCCTCCTTTGCCGCATTCTAGTTGTTCTTGACTCTTGAGCAGTTTCTTTCACAATGTCTATTGTACCTTTTGGATCTTATTCCTCTTTCAGTTTCTTATTCTAGGGAGACAATGCAATATTTACACAGTAAGTCTGATTTATTTCACTTATGAGTATGGTCTCTAGTTGCATTCATTTGCCTATAAAAGCGTCAATTTTATCCTTCTTTATAGCTGAGTAATACTCCACTGTAGAAAAATATCACATATTTTTTATTTATTCCTCCATTGGCGGGCATTGGGCTTGTTTCCAAGATTTAGCTCTGACAAATTTTGCTGCTATAGACATGGGTGCACATATATTGCTGTGGTATGAGGTTTTAAATGCATTAACTTGTTCATACTACTGCAAAATCCCAAAATTAGTGCTCATTTTATTAATACAGTAGACTCCACTAAAACCAATACTTACTGGAAGGAATAATTTTTATGCTAGTTTTCTCAAGATGTCACTAGTTTCTTGTATTTGCCAAAGGCATGGGGCATGGAATTTGGTTTTACATAAGTACATGTGCTGGGGGAAGAAGACCTACAAATGTGTTCGAGTTCCCTTCCCATCTGGGGCAGGAAGCCTGGGTCCTGGGGCTGGGGGGAGACTGTGCTGTGCCTATACCGCACTCAGAAGAATCCTTTCCTCCACCCTTGGAGACTGGCAGCCCATAGCAGTTGTGGCCACGGAAGGTGTCCTCAGACATTTGAAGATGCTCCCTCTCCATCACTCCCGGTTAAGAACCACTGCACTGTGCACAAACACTGTCTCCAGTGTTTCTTGAGGTATTGATTTTTAAGGACCAGATTACTGAAGTAGAATTCTTTTTGCCCAAATTTGAATTGAAATTTTCTCTCTCTCTTAGTTTTGCAGTTTGAAGATAGGCATTAAACCAAACAGATGGTATGTGTTCCTAGCCTTCACTCCCTGCCCACATTGTTCAATTATACACTTGCACCGAAGGGTTGCCAGAATCTGGGATGCCAGTGTTTCTCCCAGGCTAAGAATTGGCCAAGTTTTCTACCTTAGATTGGATGCCAATGTTTGTTAATGGAGACAGTATCCTTTGTTATCTTTGAATTTGTTCTTAGAGGCTTCTTGAAGCTCTCTGAATAATAATGAAGTCTCCTGTTTGAAAATTGCTTCTCATAACAATCTTGTGAGTCAATTCCGACAAGTCTTATTAACCTGCTTCACTGTGCATCTCTAAAGGAACCTGTAGATCTGTCTGTTTCCATTAAGGGCTTTGAATGGGAACAAACAACACAATGCAGGACCCATATTTGTAAGACTATTTATAGTAGTCACCCAAAGAATCACACACAAAAAGTGAGTGCAGGAAATCTGTCCACACACTAAAGACCAAAGACTCCATCTAAGGGCCTGGACCCCATAGTAGTGTCCTGCATGTGTCCAGCTGCAGACCTGGAGCTCATGACAGTACCTCCCATGAGTCCAGCTGGAGGTCCAGAGCCCAGGACAGTGTTTCATGCAGGCCTGTTTTTACAGATCTGCACTGGGAAGGCCCAAAGGTCAGTGGTGGAAGCTAGAAATCTATGCCAGTAGGATGAAGGATCTGTGTGAGCAGGCTGAGGAATTTAAACTGGAGCCAGGAAACAATGCTCAAGATAAGAACCAGAGCTCCCTAGAAAAGTACCATAGTGATCCTCAGTGACAGTGAGGTCCAGAGCTGTGAGGATGAACACAGTTAGCTCCTATTAGGAAAGCCAGGGCAATGAGCTTCTCCACGAGACTGAGCTGTGTACCACCTCCTCCTCCGAAGCCAGGAAGTGATGCTCAAATTGAGGCACAGAGCTCCCCAAAATGAACCACAGCTGTCCTCAGCAACAGCAAGGACCAGAACTCTGCTTCATCTGATGGGAACAGCTAAGTTCATCAGGAAAGCCAGCATGACAAGGTCCTCCAGCAGAATAGCCCAGTTTCAACAGCTCCAACAGCTTCTCCAAACAGCATTCCTAACAGCCTCCTTACAGCCCTCTCCAGTTCTGTCTCTTGTGCTTCTGGAAACAACCTGCAGGTGGGCATCTCCCACACAGGAACATGCTTGTTCAGTTCACCTGGCTGTAACAAGCTCACCACCAGCCAGCACCCACCACAGCATCCCATCGCTGCCCCTTGTGCCCATGCCTCTGAAGACGAGCCCCCAATACATGGAAACAGCCACTTCATAATTATTTTTTGGTTGCAGACCTAGGATTTGATAGTGTAAGAATCTATGAAATCTCAGCCAGAGCCTCAGAATGTAGAGATATTGGCATCACAGATCACCAACCATAATCTAAGACAATCAAGTGCAATCCACAGGCAAAGGCTGGGCTGTCAATTTGTTCTTCCTGGGGATCAATTCCTACTTGACAGCTGTCAGTCAGGAAAGACTCTTGGCGTTCTCCTTTCTACCTTACATTAGAGACAATAGTAACTGTCTTGATTGCACTAATTTAGAAATTCTGACATGAAATGACTTTTGCCCAATGATGTTCAACAGAACTTCAATTGAAGCAGAGCAATTGATAGTTATAGCTATTTTAAAAGATTGTTATAACCTGGCTAAAGATTTTCATCCCAGATGAAAAGTGACCAGAAAAAAAATCTATAGTATTTCAGTAGAAAAATAATCATTAAATAGTAAGTACCTCCCTATCCATGTGTCGTCATATGTCCTCATGAGGGATATAAGGGGCATATACAAAATTTAAGGTCCACCTATTGTCTATCTATGTGTCTTTGTGTCTATCTATTAATCATCCTATCTATCTATGTATCTATCTATGTATCTATCTATGTATCTATCTATCTATGTATCTATGTATCTATCTATGTATCTATGTATCTATGTATCTATCTATCTGTCTGTCTGTCTGTCTGTCTGTCTGTCTGTCTGTCTGTCTGTCTGTCCTACCATCTCTATATGCCAGTCATCTATCTACTCATCATCTTAAGCAATAAAAACAAGTTGACAGAATTTTTCAGGTTCAAACTTTGTGCAAAACTCAGTATTATTAACCTTATCTTGCTTAGTTCCTTTTAACTATTGTGACAGAAAACATTCGAGTCTTAGACTCAGTCTCACTAGATCATCCCTGCCTGGTTCAAGACTGACAGTCCAAAGACACAGTATGGTCCACTGATTAGGCTGGTAGGGAGGCTCTGGAAAGGAACCATGCAATTCAGGCCTGGTTCTCTGAGTGGCATCTTTCTCCCTCTTTCCCCACAACCTCGTGGTGGTCCTCAGCCATTATAGTTCGGCTTCAGCCGCTACAGATTTCCTGACTGCACTGCAGCTCAACTGCTATCGCAGGAGGTTTGTCCCTGAAATCCATGCTCATGGGCCTGATTGTGCCTGGTCTTTGCCCCATGGGACATGCCCTATAGGTGCCAAGCCTAGAATCCCAGGGTCCTCCCTTGAGGCACTCTTTGTCTCCTGCCACCACCTCTGCTGAGACTCTCTGATTTCTGCAAGGCATCACTCCTGCATTTCACAAGGCTGAGTAAATTAGAAAAGCAAAAAGAAATTGTTCCGGAAGTGCCAGGAATTTATTGTGAGTTATATATAGTCCCAGATAAGTCACTTCAAAGCTCTGTCTTAAGATACCTCACTTGTAAACAAATAGCTGATCATTTAGATGCATTAGCATAATGTCATCAGATAATGAAGAAGGATTCTGTGTGACAAAGACATTTATAAACTAGAGATAGAGACAAAATGCAATACAGTACATGAATTGCCTAACACATATTTTAACCAAGTATTTCAATGATATAAATTAATGCTAAGAATATAAGGTATTAGAGGACATGTGAAAGGATACCTGGGAGACCTCAAAGTATAGACGACAGAAAAGGATGCCACTGAGGGACAGTGATGGGAGCAACTACAGGTGAGTTATGTGCCAGGAATAAGCATGTGCAGGGCAGGTGGACTGGGGCTGTGGCCAGGAAGCGGCATCAGTGGCACTGGGAAACCGTGGAGAAGTTATTGCGGCTGATTGTCAGATCAATTTAGTGGTTGATTGATTTATATAACAAAATAAGTTATGAAATTTAATGACAAGTCCTGGGCAATTTTGTGATACAGGCAAAAGGGGCTTATTAAGAAGATTATCCTTCTAATCCAAAAATGGGCATGTGAAATGAATATAAACTTCTCAGATGAAAAAATACACATGGCAAATAAATATATTAAAAAATATTCAAAATTATTGGTCATTCAAGAATAGCAAATTCAAACAACACTGAGATTCCTTCGCAACCCAGAAATTAACCAATACTGAATCTTACAGGGTCTGTGGGAAAAAAGGAACACTACAGTTGTGGAAGTGCAAAATGGTAAAAGCGCTGTGGAAATCAGCACAGAGATTCCTCAATAAGCGAGTAGTAGAGGTTCCACTTGATCCAGCTATTTCTGCTCCGAGTATCTTTTCAGATGAATTTAAAACATCATACCACAGTGAAATATGTGCGCCTATTTTTTTTTCTTTTCAAAGTTTTATTGATAAACATATAGCAATGAGACAGTTTCAAATCAAATCGAAAGTACAGTTTCAACAAATAATACACTGCATATATTCTTCTGAGTGGTGCCTATGTTTATAGCAATACAGTTTATGGTAGCTAAATCTTGGAAAGAACCCAAATGTGCGTCAACACCAACTGAGGAATGGATAAAAAGCTGTGGTATTTTTATTCATTAGAGCACTGCCGAGTGATAAACAAGGAGAAGCTTGAGGATGCAACTTAAGACCGTCCTCACAAGCGAAGTAAATCTGACTCACAGGTGTAAACATCATATTGTCTCTCTGATGTGATAAGCTGAAAGAGTAAATATGGTCTAAAATGTAAAACAAATATGGGAAGAGATTGTTCAAAAGAAAAAGAAACTAGGATCTGTGAAAGGAGAAAGGATGAAAGGGAGAAGGGAAAAAATGAAAACTAGTTATACTCCTAGTGTCTCTTGGTTCTCTGGAAAAAGCTTTCTACTAACATCAGTTGGTTAATTTTTACTATTCCTATCTTCTACTTCCAGTATCTCCTGTAAAGATAACAATATGCAACGTATTGACTAATGTTATTTTGTGAAGAAATTTTGTTTTACCTTATTTTCCATAAAATAATAAAGTTATTATGGATGCCAGGCAAAAAAAAAAGAAGAAGATTTGTCTTCTGACTATATGACATAAAATGTGAGAAAGCAGAGACTTCGCCAGGAGGGTGGCCGCTGGGCACCACCCATGAAAGCTGGCAGTCCTGCTTGGCTGTGACTTGAAGGCATGCAAACACAAGACACCCACGGGAAGAATCCAGTCAGTGTGCACAGTGCTCCAGCTCGGCCACACGTGGACTTTGCATTGTGTTCCAACAGATGCCCAGTGGAAGCTACACTTTAAGGGTTACAATAAATAGGTGAAGTAAATTTTAGGGATAGAGTTTATCAACCAAGTATAAGCCAAACGTTACCATCTAAACCTATAATCACTATAAAAATCACAGAAACGTTTTGTTCCTTTGTTTAAAAAGTGAATTTAGATCTTCATGTGTATTTGGTAAGTGCAGCACAAGTCACCCAGCTGGCTGCCTGTGTGACTCCAGGCTCCTGTAATGGATGGAGTAGCTCTACTTGCTAGTGCAAAATGTCTCAAGACCCCACCAGGTCTTAGTTTCTCCTGCTAAGATAAATAGGGTACGCTGCATGCCTGCAGAGTTGCACTCTTTCTGTGGTCTTCAGACTGAATGAACAAATAAAACAATAATTTCTGTAATCAAGTCAAATTTTATTACAAGACAGTGAGAAGAGTATAAGATTGTCTAGCTAATTTTGTTAAGTAAAAGCATTACTACTAATGACAACAGCCTCCCATTTAACTTATACTACTACAAAAGTAGGAAGGATGATGTTCCAACACATATTGTCCTCTAGATTGAATACATTTGGTTTCATTAGAAATGATTGTACTATGTTTATTTTTCTCATTTTACTATAGAAGAGTAAAACCTTCTCTAGATCTTAATTATGGACCATGATGTGGAAACTGCTGATCTAGCCCAGGCTTTATTTCTAAGTGTTAATGTGTCACCTCTTCCTTTTGTCTTCCCTTCCTTTGTTCCACTGTCTTTCCATTTCCTGCTTCACTCTGCTTAATTTAGGCAAAGCTTCTCTATGTGGCTGGTAACCCCGGTTCTCTTCAGTCCAGCCCATGATCTCCAAAGCAAAGAAATCTCTCCTCCTCTAATTCAAAACCAGTGGTGCTGAGCTCTGATTTTGGTTTCATTTTCAGTACTGAGTTAAGCATTGTGTCCAGAGTGCTGGGCTCTTAGGTGGGCTTGGATGACACATTTATGTTGGTGACCACAGAGTAGTACAGCCACATCAAAAGACAGCTGGCAGGTGGAACTGAGCTGTCCCAAAATAGAATCCCAGAAGGAAGCACACCAAGGCTGCAAATGTCCCAGGGCTTGTTAGGAACTAATGGGTGTAACCAAGAGAGGAGAGGGCAGGAGAGGGCAGTGAGGACTGAGGACAGGAACGATTAGCAAGGGGAGACGGATGACCAGCCAGTGGACCATCAATCCATGCAAGTTGAATGAGAACACTGTCATGCTTTTTGAGCTGATGTATGTGGATCTTACGTGGAACAGAAAACAACTGCAGTATCACTAGTCACATATGCAAATATTGAGAGCAATTTATAATTACACAGCTAGATTTATGAGTTTGCTATATGAAGAACTGACTTTCATCTTATTGCCTTCCTCCTGCTGAGATAACAGTCTGGGCTGTACTACTGAAACGAGAGTGTGTTGGAATGAGAAATGCTAGCTTGAAAGCAAGAATGTGTCTTCTATTTCTCATTTAATCTCATTGAGAATGACTAACTCAAACTGGACCTCCTGAGATTTCTAGTTCTGTCCCTGATAACTGGCTGCTGTTTGGGTCAGTGTGTCGGGCCTGAGCTACAGGGAACTTCTTCTCAGTGACGGGACCTCCAGACACCAAGCAAATGCAGCCCAGCTTTCAGTGTGATGACAGTTAAAACCCAAGGAAGACAGAACTTTCAGCCCCTCCTGCCTGCTGTGCTCATAGGCTGCTGCTCCCTTTCTGTAAGTGAAGGTTAAGCTTTCTCTGCAGCTAGTCCGTCTGCAGTTACCCATTTGTCACATCTCCGTAAGGGGCTTCATCTCACCCAGTCTGCTGAGGGGTGTAATGAACTTTCTGGGCAGAGTATTGCAAAGTGTGTGAGAGCCTTGCACCTAGGAGGAGGTGGAGAAGAGGAACCGAACACATGTGACCCCTCAGTTGGCTGAGTCAGGGAATAATGCTGCATGGTGTACAATTAGAAACACGAGACCTGGGCAGAAGGCCTGAGTAGATGATCAACAAAGTGAAAAGGATAGGCGGGAGACAGAAGGCTGTCTAGCCAGGCATGCTGGCACAGCCTGTAATCCCAGGAGGCTGAGGTTAGAGGATCTCTGAGCTCCAGGCTAACCTGGGAGTCTACACAGTGAGTTCATTGTTAGTGTGAAGCACATGGAGAAATCCCATCCTCAATGGAAAAGAGGAGGTGAAGGAGGAAAAAGAGGAGGAGGAGGAGGAGGAGGAGGAAGAGGAGGAGGAAGAGAAGGAGGGGGAGGAGGAGGAGAAGGAGGAAAAAGAGGAGGAGGAGGAGAAGGAGGAGAAGCAGGAGGAGAAAGAGAAGGAGAAGAAGGAGAAGAAGGAGAAGCAGGAGACAGATAAAGAAGAAGAGGGAAGAGAAGGAGGAGAAGGAGTTGAAGGAGGAGGAGGATAAAAAGAAGGAAAAGAATAAGAGCATGTTGGTAAGAGAGTGATACTTAAAAGATTAGGAAGAGCTGATCTGGACAGAGGATGGAGATGGAGTCTAGGTACTTTATGATACTTAATTGACAGCACACTGTTCTTTCTTGCACACTCATGATAGTGACCATTTAATCAGTAACTATTCTTTCACTCCAACTTTTTATCATTTTTGTTAACTGTAACCAAATGCTTTCCAAATTTTTCATCACTTTTGAAAGGCAGGGGCTGAGATTGGTAATTCCAGCATCATTAAAATTAGTTT